GTTCAGTCTGGTTTGATCAGAAGAGGGTGGAAAAGTTGAGCTACTTTCTTCTGCAGACAATGAAGCTCTACCTCTTGGGCCTGAAAGAGTTTGGTAACAAAAATACTATGTTGAAAGAAAAGGTGTTTTTGCTTATACGTGCATGCGAGAGAGGACACACACACACACACACACACACACACACACACACACACACACACACACACACAGTGCCCTCTGAAGATGTACGACACTGTTAAATTTAGGGCCTGATTGGAAGGAAACCCAAACTTTTGTGAGAGATTGTAAAAGAATTTCAGAAATAAAAATCCTACCACGACCCTACGGGGGCTCCATGAAACAGCAGCTAAAAAAAAAGATTCTGAGAGAGCGCCTTCAGTCGGAGGCAAAGGGTAGAAAGCCTAGAGAACTTGGAGCTCCTGTAGATCTCCTCTGGTGTCAGCGTCTCTACTCCCAGAGGCTGGAGTCTCCTGCTTCTGTCAGTCATGAAGATGTCAAAAGGTTTGTCAGGAGCCAGCTGAGTTAAGGTGGACCTCAGCAGGTCCAGGAAGTCCACCTCCTGCAGCCCACAGGGACACTGCAGCTCCTGCACCGGGTACTTCTTAAACACTGGGAGCAAACAGGGACAAGTAGAGCAAAGCAAGTAAACCATTCGATTCCTAATGGCTAATGATGAGTAACATCAGGTACCTTTGGCCCAAATCTGAGTCCTCTAAATATTCAATACCTGCTGATACCAGGTCCGATCTGATGCTTCTATTTACCTCCATGTTCTGACTCACTGTCCCAGAGTTAAAGCTGTCGCTGATAGAAAATTCATCACTTTCCCTCACCATCAATGTTTTGGGTCGTCGTTCAAATTAAACACGACATTTGAACACAGGGATTTTCTGTTTCCTATCGTTTTACAGACCAAACAGTTAGTCAAGGAAATATTTGTCCAATTAATTGATTATCAACACGACTTCTAGTTGCAGCCCTAAACACAGCTTTGTACAGTACAACACTGCAGCTTGGCCAAGTATGTTACACACAAGGAATTTGTTACTTGAATTTGTGTTGCTTACAGACCGTGGTTTTAAATTTGTGTAATTTAAACTTTTCCTTTTTATGTCTTAACATGTTCTGCTTTTATTTTTATACGTCCTGTTGTGAAGCACTTTGAGCACCCTTGGCTGTTGTAAAGCACTATATAAAAAAATGTATTATTATTATTACTTCGACATGTGGACTGCAGGCACCATGACATGAACCTCCAACCCCCCGGTTGGGAGTCAACCGCTCTACCCGCTGAACCACAGTCGCCTTTTTCTCTCTTTGATAAAAAAATAAGATGATGTATAAACCTGAACACAAGGCCAAGGGAAACCTGCATCACAGTTATGACTAGCACTACCTGAGCTGCTAGCATGTTAGCCGTTAGCTCACAGGCTATTGTAGTTCAACTAGCCCTGTCACTACAAGTCCAAGCCTCCAACACCGCTGATTCCAATAGGACACACAGATGAACTCTGTGACCTCCTGGTGTGATCAGGTTTTAACATTTAAGTGTATCACAAGTAAAACTTTGTGTATATACTGCACATTTGAAATGCAAATTTACCAGTGTTTGAGAGCACATCAAGCTGGGAGTCCTCCAGGATCCGCATCCTGAGATTTATGCTGCTCTGTATTTTCACTGGCCTGCCAGGCCTCCTCCTGTCAGACTGAACCCTGGGAGGCATTAAAAGGGTAAAAATGACTGAAGATATCAATAACCAGCTTTTAGAAGAGCAGGAGACCTTCTCTGATTTACCTCGAGTTCAGTCTGGTTTGATCAGGGGTGGTTGGAGGATCTGTGGCAGTATCTCTTCTCTTCAGGAGAACAAGATCTTCCTCACTGGCCTGGAGTTTCTTAGGAGCCCAAAAGAAGAGTTACGAGTCCACCAGGACAGAGACGGCCTCTATTAAAATGACTGACAAACAAAATAATAATGCTGTACAAAGAATATTTCTCGTGTACGACTGAGGTTGGAAAGCACTGTTTTGAATCTGAATCCAGTATCAAATCGAATCCTTTGAAATCTCTTATCAAATCTCAGTAAGTTTAGCTTTCACTGTTTGCAAGTAACAAAAGTTTTAAATAACTACAAGTGAAAGGTTCAGTTTAGATCTGATATCAGTTGTTGGGTGAAGCCAGAAACGATGTGTTAGCGACCAAATTCATCAGCACTGACATGAATTAAAAGCCTAATCAACAGTGACAACCTGAAAACAAGCTGAGACCTGAAATGTTGATCGACTGATCAGTCGTTATGATACAGTGAAATAACTACTGGTTTTTACAGCCTAGATCCAAATAACTGAGCCCCTGATTCACTGCTGTTAGCTGAATTGATCACTGATCTGACACATGAACATGCGAACAGCATCACAGCTGCTCAATTCTCTAAAGAGTCTTGACTCTGCTGAACTACAGGAACAGGCCATGGCGTCGCAGACAGACGTCTTTTTACTCTGTCTCTGGCAGAGTCGAGTGTTTTCAGCCTTGTTCAGTGCAAACAAAAAAATAACCAGGAAAGTGAAAAAGGTTGTTAAGAGACTTGTTAGTGTCAGAGCTTGATGAATCTGGACATGTCTCCAGATCCAGCCAGTGATCTAAACCCAACTCTACAGGTCACCAAAGACAAAAAGTGCCAAGACCTCTGTGGACTATAATCAGCTAATGGCTCAGAGAATCGGATAAGAGTGTTGAAGAGTGTAGATCACTGACAAAGTGGTCCACTCTCACAAACAGCTTCAAGAATCAGACAGGCTACCTTCAGATGGATGTAGAGGGACGAATACCCAGCGGAACTGATGGTCCTGTAGATCTCCTCTGGTGTCAGCGTCTCTGCTTTCAGAGGCTGGAGTTTCCTGCTGTGATCAGTTATGAAGACGTCAAAAGGTTTGTCAGGAGCCAGCTGAGGGAAGGTGGACCTCAGCAGGTCCAGGAACTCCGCCTCCTGCAGACCACAAGGACACCGCAGCTCCCGTGCTCGGTACTTCTTAAACACTGAAACGGAAGAGAAACGTTCATCAGGAAGCCTTTTCGGTATGTCTACATCACAGCTGTCTGTGCACACACAGCTATTCACTGCAAAAAAACCCTCATGTATGTGGGTGAATCACCGCGGGGGACCAACTGCATTTGTAGCAGCGAGGACACCACTGGAAATGTTCCCAAAATGTTCTCCCAGATAACGGAGGGGCTTTAAACTCACCTCTGATTGAGAGGACTTCAACCTGAGGGTCCTCCAGGACGCGGACCCTTAGAGTTATGTGGTTCTGTGGTTCAGTGATCTGAGGACTCACCTGGTTCACCATTCGGTGCCTTCCCTCATTGAGAGACCTTTCTGTGATTAGCCAACTTTATTCAGCTGATACCGACCTGTTGTCTCCACTTTAACCTCAAGCGGAGCTCCCTCCAGCTGCTTCCTCTGCCGGTCGATCTCCTTCCTGTAGCCCGACGCCGCCTCCTCGTACTGGGCTACGGTTTTCTCCACAGCTGCAAAGATCTCCTGGGCAGCGGCTGTCAGCTTCTCGGCAATGACTCCTCTCAGGAGCTCCCTTCGAGACAGACTCAAGGCCCCCCCGAGTTCCATGTTGTTACTGCAGGTCCACGTCAGCACCCCCACCGCTGCCACTGGTGGAAACACGCGAAGTTTGGCGCCGGTGCGGCCACAAATGCTGTCCGACTAGAAACACGAACAGAAAAGGAACGTCACCTTCCTAGACCGATTCACAGAAAGTGACATAAATAAAACTTCATCAGAAACGCTTTTCATACCCTGATCATGAATAGTGTTCACTAAAATGATTCTATATACTGAGCTGGAGACCACAGCTGAATGGCTGCAGTAATTCTGCAGATATTCTTGCATTTCAGCATCAAAACTCAAGACCCATTCATCCGTTATCTTTGCTGCCTGACCTGTAGAGGGTCGCTGGAATCAATCCCAGCTGACACTGGATGAGGGGTGAGGTACACTATGGGTAGTTTACATCCCAAACCTTTTAATGCAACCATGTTTCCCTCACTTATATTTTGCCCACACAAGATGTGAGGAAGAGATGCAAGAAAGAAAGGCTACGATCCCCTCACAAAAAGTACCATGGTATTGTGATGGCAATAAATGGTACTTCAGAACAACTGAGGAAACTTCAAGTCTCTTATATTAGAGCTGAGGATGCTGCTGGAGACACGAGCAAGGATACACAGACCATCCTTCGCATATGTTTTTTATGGATCGACCTTTATTGGACATCAGTCGGTGACTGGATGCTTCAGATGAAGAATCTGAGGAAAGCACGTCTCATGCTGTTAATAACACATCTCAAGTTCTCTCTCCTTGTATGTTTCCTTTGCATCTTACATGGATGGGACTAATACTCAAGGCAAAGACGAGTGAAGAAAACAACGGTGCTTATAACAGACTTAGAATGTGCCCCGTTTCTTTCCTAGATACTGGGAATCCCCACTTGATCACCAACTGATCTGCTGGTGTGAGGTGTGTCAGTTAAAGTCCAAATAACACACTGGGAGATGGGAGAACCATACGCTCTGTTTTATTCTGCAGGTCACATCCTCACTAATGCCATCTGACTCACTGATGTCCAGCAGCACTGTGTACATGGTCTGCTTCTCGTCACGTGATGAAGTCAGCTCACTTGAACCAAGCCTTAAGGTCTCTCTCCGTTGTGAGTCCTCATGTGGACTGTCAGATGTTCTTGGCAAGCACATGCTTTGCCAAAAACCCCACAGATGAACCTTTTCTCACCTGAATGAGTTCTCAGATGGCATCTGAGAGTGTTCCTACTGTTAAAGGCTCGTCCACACTGGGAGCAGCTGTACGGCCGCTCCCTGGTGTGGATTATCAGGTGTCTCTTCAGAGCGCCTCGAGATGACATTTCCTTGCCGCACTGGCTGCACATGACCTTCTCGTTGCTGTGTGTTCTCAGGTGAACCACTAACTGGCCTCCTGTGTGGAAGGCTTTGCAGCAAACGTCACAGAGAGTGCGGCTTTTCCCTCTGCGTGTGAATTTTCTCATGTTGTTTCAGTTTCGCAGGGAGCGAGAACCGCTTCCCACACACCTGACAGCTGTAATGTTTCTCTCCACTGTGTCTCAACCTGTGTTTAGACAAACATCTCAAGTCGCTAAAAGATTTAGCGCAGATGTCGCAGCTGTACGGCTTCTCACCTGTGTGGCTCCTGCTGTGGATCCTCAGCTGCTGTTTGTGGCCAAAAGACTGAGGACAATCATCACATTTGTGTGGCTTGTCCTCCACGTGGTACCAGTGGTGATTCGTCAAACCAGACTTACTGGTATATGCTTTATGACAGATATCACATTTGTATGGTTTCTCTCCTGTGCGCAGATTAGTGTGCCTACTTCGACCAACAACAGTGATGAAAAGACTTTCCACAGATGTTACAGCTGTGAGTTTTCAGGTGACTCTGAAGGCGACTCCTCAGTTCCTCTGTCGATTCTGAACGTTCTCCACAAACTCCACACTACCCCTGTGGATCGACCACATGGCTCCAGGAGTGTTTAATCAAAATGTTGACTGACCCGTGCACAGCTCCGCACACTTTACAGGAAACAGTAGCATCCCTGCTACCATTCGTCTGCTTTGGAGACGACTGGATCGTTTCCTTCTCATTGTCGTGATGTGTGAAACTTGACTTGTCGTTTCCTCGTCGCGTTTGACGAATTTCTTTCTTGAATTTCATTTTCACTCAGATCCTCTTCATCCCTCTCTGGTTTCCTGTCGCCATCTCTGTCGCCCTCTTCCACCTCATCACTGGAGAAGTGGCATTAGAATTGTCTGACGGTGATTTCTGCAGGACGGCTGTGGGAACCGGAAAAGGAAGGACGGCTGTGGGAACCGGAGAAGGAAGGTCCCGTGAGTTACGTGCACCTTTATCTGGCAGAATTAAAACTTGCTTACTGAGGTTACATTTCAGCTGGCAGCTCCTAAAGGTATCATCCTCACTGTCTATGCTGACTCATGTTGAACGTGGCCCACTTTCATCATCTCTGGTCAGTGTCGCAGACGTAGACAGGGAGTCACTGGTGGCTTTGTCTTCTGTCTGTGGAGGAGGAGGAGAACGCTCCTTCCTCTTCAAGGATTTCTTTGATGCCTAGAGGAAATCGACATCTGAAATTAATTAACAAGCTTTATCTTTCGATCAACAGGGTGGAACCTCTTCTCTAGAGATATGAAGAACACGAGTCACAGTTCAACTTTTTAAGTCCATCACATCCAGACTTGGAGCTCATTAGCTCAGAGTTGTCAATCTAACAACTAACGGGAACAGTCGAAAGAAGAAGAGTTATTTGTTGTAAAAGTTGTTTTGTTGTTAAGTGATTATGTTGAAAACTTGTAATAAGATAAAAGGATTCAGATTTGATAAGCCAATTCTAAGTTTGAGCAATACACGACTGAGGTTTAGGACTTAAAAACTAAAACACTGCGAGACAGGGCTTCACACGTCTGGAAGCTTATCACAGCAACGATCATCTGTCCTCCATTACAATGACCTCGAGGTAAACATTCACAAAACAGAACTATCTATCGGGAATTTGGACTCGCACGCATCTGAACGACCGATATCATGGTTACCAGATAATGTTTTGGCATAAAACTGAGCAGGACTGTCCATTTCTTGCTGGGACACTTCATCCACTCAGGACCTTTTGTGAAAACCTTTGTCTAATGGAAATAAGTGAAGAGGGTGCTAATGGCAATGTGATGATCTACCTTTACTCGGACATACAGGGCTGATCTTCCTTTCCCCGTGCACTTGATGGACCTGTAGATCTCCTCTGGTGTCAGTTTCTTTAGTTTCAGTGGGGTCAGTTTCTTCGTTGTGCCAGTTGTGAAGGTATGAAAACCCTCCTCTCAGCTGAGGGAAGGTGGCCCTCAGCAGGTCCAGGAAGTCGGCCTCCTGCAGACCACGACGGCACTTCACCGGCTTGATCGAGGACTTGAACACTAACACACAAAGAAATCCTGATTTGTTCAAAAGAGCCCCACACAATAATCAACTTTTCATAGCATAACTGTAAAACATATTAAATAAGAACATACTTCCAAGACTAGCCCGAGAATAAACAACCAAAGAAATGAGTCACAAACTCTTTATTGCATTTTGTTTCAACTTTATCACCTCAGCAATAAGCAAAAACTGTTTTTCAATATTTCAACAAATTTCCACCTTTTATTCTCAGGTTTGTTATTGAAAACGTACATAAACACATGGTGTGTATGTATGAATATAGTTCACTCCTCTGGAACTCCCCGGACTCAGATTTCTGACCGGGAAGGTCGGACAAATGTCACCAACCTTGAACTCAAAATCCAAGATGGCTGCTGGGTGCGTCAGCAGTAGAAACCTGTAGCAATATGCTCTTGATCAGCCCTTATGTCTTATTCATCTCTCATTAAAACAGCCGCTCACACAGTACTGTCCAACTGTCAACGTGTCGCTACAGTGTTTGTGTGTCCAAAATACCACATAATGCTTTGCTATAAACTGGTCTTGGTAACAACAGCTGTCATGGCTCAACTGGTATTATGGTTAACTGGAACACAGGTAACTGGGCTGTGATGTCATTCCCAGCTCTGACTTCCGAGGTAAACAGAACACACCAATAATCCTCCTAGCAAATGAGAATTTCACCAAATACATGTTGTGGGGGGAAGACATTTAATCCTCTTCCTCCAACAATCGCTCCCTAAAACAACGTGTCATATATTTACACCATATTCTGTGTATTACTCAGCAATCATCAAACAACCTGACTGGCTGTGTGGAAAAGGCTTCGTCTGCTTCCTCTGGGAATCTTACCGCCTCTTTTGAGCATGTTGGTCTGAGAGTCCTTCAACAGACAAGACTCGAAGACTTAGAGTATTCCACATCCTGAACTTCGCAGACAAACCTCTGCCAAAAAATAATCAAAGCGAGAAAAAATCTCAACAAAGATTCACCATACACTCAAAAATGTGTTGCGTAGTAATATTATATCATTTTCAAGCCTTGAATTTGGAGTCTGGTGCTCTGGGTCCTGGTCTAGACTGGTGATCTCTGCTGGCTCTTCAGCAGATTTCTCCTCCTCCTCCTCACAGACCTCTTCCTCAGTTTGACCTGAGACTTCCTGGCTCCCAGCAACCTCCACATCTGAACAAAAAAAAAAAAGAGACCCAAAATTTAGTTAGAATGAATTTTTTATTCATATGATGAACTGGGACAACACAGTGTTTACAGCCATTCAGGAATGATCTGAAGGAGACAAAACCTTTGAGAAGAACAGAGTGAAGACGTACGTATCTGTGATCTTTACTGCTCCTTCATGAGGAATTCATCTCCTCCAGCCGCCTCCTCCTCCTCTTCACAAACAGGAAGCAGTCCAGGTTCTTCTGCATCACAAATAAAGGCCTGAATGGTTCATCCACCAATTCACAGCATTGTTCTCTACCAATAAATCTACATTCTTTTAAAATCTGGATTTAAGCAGCAACTATCATTTAATCTGCTGAGTATTTTATCAGCTACTTTATTGTCTTTCTCTATAAAATATGGGAATATGGTAGAACAAAACTGGGGGTTATCTTAAGAAATGCGATTCATATTTACAGCCTTTTACAATATGACGTTGGTAATGTTACTTAAGGACACAGATCCCATTTACCAGTGATCAAATCATCTTATTACGCTGTTAAACGTGGTACAGTCTCCACCAAGCAACCTGCAGGTTTGTTTAAAGCCGAGGACCTAAATGACTAGAGGTGGTTTGGTGCCGCTCCACTGACGTAGGTTTGTGTCATAACGTGTTTAATTAAATCCTTAGATTTCTCACCGGAGTTCTGTACGTGGTTCCCAGCAACCTTTTAGTTGTTTCTATAATTCCCGGTCTACGTTACCCACCTATCCTACTGTTAGATATTTTTAGTCAGATAGAAATTGGATAGATACTTTATGTATTAGAAATGTTTAGTGGAGATAGGATGTCTAGTTAGACTGTTAAATGCTTAGTCATGCTTATGAGTTTCTACAGGGTACATCTGGTCAAGGATAACTAGAGAGAAGAGTTGAGGACTGTCAGCAGACAGGGTGTTTAATATTATTATTACGACGTGTATAACGGTAGCCTTAGCCATAATATGTTCTTATGTTTAAGTCACGACATGTACTAGAAGTCTGTGAGAATGTTTTTAGTTACACACCACTTAATCAACAGACACACACACATGCACATTGATTTACTTCATGTTTTGACTACTGCTATGACCAGCTGCAAAGCTGGTAACAGAGACGTCTCGGTTGACGTTTCTGTGTAGTATGGGGCTAGCCCAACCGAGGGGATATAATGTATAGGCCTGGTGGGTTCAGGGTCTTTCATCTTACATCTGCCTGTGAGCAGTTTGGAGGTGCAAGATACCTGAGCGTGTAATGTTAATTTTACCTGTGATCCTTTGAATAAATCAGCACTGTTTTGAAGTTACTTGGACTGCCTCGTCTCTCAGAGTTAGCAATGGTAACAAGAACCAAAGACCAACACTACACAGTGTGACCTGAGGCTGAAGAACAACCTCCAGCTGCCTCCTCTGCCGGTCGAGCTCCTTCCTGAAGCCTCCTCCTCGTACCCGGTCACGGTTCTCTCTACAACCGCAAAGATCTCCTGGGCGGCTGTTGTCAGTTTCTCGGTGATGATTCCTCTCAGGATCTGCACCGTCGACAGCTCAGAGTCCAGAAAGACCACGCTAACAGCTTCCATTTTTACCAGGAGATAGCAGAGCTTTGGACCACAGCATCCTTCAGCTTCAGACGTCACAAACTCGACGCT